GGGGAAGGAACAAAAGAAAGGAAAAGGTAATTAATAATTATGGATATGTAAAAAAGAGAGCAAGGATTTGGGGAAAAAAACAAAGAAAGAGTTTGTGTAACACTCATATTCAGCAGTTATTTTATTCATAATGAGATGGAGGTCCATTTCTGCAAAATGGACCTCACCAAAACTTTCATCCTAGTTACGGCCCTGACTGGAAATTAAATAAATAAAAGAGAGGTCTCTCTTAATTTACACAGTACTTTATATGGATAGTAATGGCTGCAACTGCATGCTGAAATGTAAAATAACATTGCATCTTTGTCACAGTTGAGCTCTTTGTGGATTTACTGACTTCAATCTCTAGTATTTACACTACAATAACTGTGTAAAACATTGTTATGGCATTTTCGAATATGCTGCAAGCAGAAGGTTAACAGGGTTCCAACTGGCCTTTTCACACAATGAAGCTTTCCAAGACATCTGATGAAGTTTAGCTTCCTTATAAAGCTATAACAGCAGTGAAGTGTGGAATAGCAGGCAGTGGAAAGCTGTTTCGATGGAATGGTATGAAAAGGAAATGGTAACAGTTTTCATCCTTACTTGTGCTTCATACCTGCCTTTTTACCTATGACATTACACTGGTATATAGTGGTTCTCAAACTAGTTCTCAGGATCCCCAGACTGTCCACAGTTTTGTTGGGTCTGAGCAAAGATGTGAACCACCTTGTGGGACCTTGAGGACCTTGTTGAGAACCACTGCTCTGAAGGCAGTAGATGCATTACAGCGTTTAGTTACAGACAAAGTGTTCTACCCATATTTTATCTGATAAACAGCTCGTTTTTTACTGTACCTGTATCATTCTGCCCATGACCTGTTGCTAAGTAACAACAGTGGTCGCCTTGCTCTGTGTTTGTGGTAGAACTGCTTTTCTTCTAGAAGAAATTTTCAGAATATTAAAAAGAAGTATTTGAAATAATACAAAGCTTTTGCAAGCCTGTTGTGTAAAAGCAGTAGAACGCTTGATATTATTTGTCATAACTGACTCTGTTTTCAGTTTTCTATTGCTTATGAATACATTTCCTCAAAGGTCAACAAGTGTAAATCTTTAAATAAGACAAATACACAAACATTATACATCATAAAAAGACACTAAAACTCACTCCAACAAACACAAATAAAAGATTATAGTCTGTAAAAGGACTCAATATGGATAATTGCTTCTATAGAGACACAGTAGCCAATGACAGACTGGTCAGATTCTGTCTGTGTGTGTGTGCTGCGGCTAGTTTATACAGGCGGTGACTCTTTCTGCAGCAGTGCCAGCACGCCTGCTCTGATTGATGAATGGTAGCAGGATATCAGAGCACCGCTGTGTGTCAGGCAGTGAGTGCAGAAGGAAGCTGCTTTGTCAGACACACACACACCTGACTGAGCACTCATCTCATGTCCTGATGCAGCACACGCAGGCTGGCCCACTTACATTTACATTTACATTTACATATATTCATTTGGCAGATGCTCTTATCCAAAGTGATATGCATAATGTGAAAACAGTGGAAGCCAAGCGAAGGCAAAATGACACAGAGAACCTGCAAGGATTTAGGACCTAAAAGACAAGAACGCTACTAAAGCTAGTAAGCGCTGCTTTAAAACAAACTAGTAAACAGGAAACATGACTATCATGCTTAAGTGTGTCAAAGTTAACACATCAAAGCAATAGATGATTAACACCAGTGATTTTTGTCAATTCTATTAGCATATTTTCCTAGTTTGACCCTTCAAACCGTCTGTACTGTTCTAGACCATTCCACATTGTTATTTTGTATTCTCCTCAGTATTCCCCCCAATTTACACTGTTCTAGAATGTTCTGCCCTTATTCATACACTTCCTCCCATTCACACTGTTCTTCAATGTTATTCTCATATTCACACTGTTCTAGAACGTCCCCCTTATTAACATGTTCTCCCCTCATTCACACTGTTCTAGAATGCTCCTCCCACTCACAATTCTAAAATGTTCTCCCCTTATTCATACTGTTGTAGAATGTTCCTTCCATTCACTCTGCTCTAGAATGTCCTCCATCATTTACACTGCTCTAGAATGATCTTCTCATTCACACAGTTATAAAATGTTCCCCCATTTCCTCTGTTCTGGAATGCTCTCTTATTCACACAGTTGTAAAATGTTCCCCCAATCACATGGTTCTAGAATGTCCTCCCCGTTTACACTTTTCCAAAATGCTCTCCCTCATTCACACAGTTCTAAAATGTTCCCCCCATTCTCTCTGTTCTAGAATGCTCTCCCTCATTCACACAGTTTTAAAATGTTCCCTCATTCACACTGTTGTAGAATGTTTCTCCCTTATTCACATTGTTCTATAATGTTCTCCTCTGTTCTGGCCTGTTTTGGCCTTCACACATTCTTTCCAATTTTTGGATTCTTTCTGTAGTTCTCCAGCATCTCACTTTCTGTTTCACACTCTGTGCTCCTCTCCTCCTCTTTCATCCCCTCTTCACTCCTCTCATAAGATGATCAGTTTCTGTCATTCAGACTTTTTCTAAGCTCTCATTGATCTCTGAAAGGTAATAGGATTGTGTATCATGATGGATAGAGTCCTGTTTGGTTTCCTCTTTCTCTCTATCTCTCTCACTTTGTCCTTGGTGTTGCTATTTTTGTTGCTCACTACTTTCTCTCTCTCTCTGTCTCTCTCTCTTTCTCTCTCTCTCTCATGTACACACATACACACACGCACAAACAAGACATTCATGCTCATATCTGAATTATTCATTTCGTGCATCGGCCTTCCTCATGAATATTTATGAGCAAATTTACTCTTTAGAAGCGTCCTGTTGTAAATACCATCTCTCAAATTGCCAGGGTGCTAGGAAACCAAATAAAATAATTAGCGCATGTAAATAAGAGGAGGAGTTTGATGCCAGGTCTTGGCACAGCCTTTCAAACCCCTTTTTGCTCCTCAGATAAAGCTGTATATTTGGCTCCACGTGATGTGAGAAAGCTGACGGTCGTGTTTCGAATGGCACTCTGGGAAGTCTAACGGGGTGTAAAACCAGGCGAGGGTCTAATTCTAAATATCACACAGCAGATGTAGGCCAATTGGAAGAGATGTGTTTTTGATTAGATGAGTGATGCTGCACAGAATGGGAGTGGAGGGGCGTTTAGAAAGTAGGAAACCGGCTTATTCACACAAACTGAAAATGAAGAGGCCACAAATGGAGCTGGCAACATTTGGCATGTTTTCCTCCATTTACCTCTCGTACCTCCATGCCTTACTTTGATTGTCCACTGTAGATGGTCCACCGGGATCAAACATCAGGCGAAGTGTTTTGGTTCTGCAGAAAAAGAGGCAGGGTTAAGGAGGCGGAGCTTGGGGCTCAAGACCTCCTTTTCCCTTCTTTTTTAGCCCTTGTTGGTGCGCGGGGATCAAGGGGATGTTTATGGTCATGTCTGATATCTGTTTTGCTTTGTTATCCTGCTGTATCATGATCTAGGCAGCTAGGTTAACATAAAAAATGACACAAAGATGCTAATGTAGTCCAAATAATGCATCACAGTGGATTTTTTATTACCAGAATGTGAACATTATGATATATGAAAAACACTAGCTACTAATATTGCCAACTGGTTAAATTAAGTCATACATATTGTCTATTATTGTGGTTATTTTGAATTACTTTGAATCTCACAGAAATTATGTTTCACAAAATGTACAGCCTGCAACTAGCCTGAAAGTTTCACCATGTAAAGTCAGCCTAACTTACACTCTAACCTAACCCTAATATCTGACCCTAAAGCCCTTTACTCTCAGGACATTACCTGGATACTTTTACCAGGTTTACCATGTTTGGGCTTTGTCTCATTCACACATGCAGCCTTTAAACAACATTTTTCTAGGATGCACGCTTTCATACTAGCCATGACGTTCCTGTTAAACAGGATGTAACATCGTCAGCATGTCACAAAAACTAAAAACTTGACTGTAAAAACAAACGTCACGCAGATATTTTGCTTTGTCGGCCATGTTGCATTTCTTTTGGACAGAAGCTTCCACGCACCCTGGCAGGGGAGATGTCTACCACATCTAGAGTCATGTGCAAAAAACACTCCCATGCCATTCTAAGATAATGTGTCAGCATTTGTTCGCACATTAGCCGTTTCGTTAATGACCTGGGTGTTGTACTGGCTATTGTACTGGGTTTTGTGAGCCGTTTTGTGAATGACCTGGATATTGTACTGAGTTTCGTGAGCCATTTTGTGAATGACCTGCGTATTGTACTGGCTACTCTACTGGGTTTCGTGAGCCATTTCGTGAATGACCTGGGTATAGTACTGGCTATTCTACTATTCTATTGTACTAGGTCTTGTGCCTATTGATTGTCGTGCTGACACCATTTCAGTTTAATTACCATTAAATACCAGGGTAAAAGTGCACATGTGAATGAGGCTTAGCACTCACTCTAACCCTAACCATAACCTCACCCTTAATGTTTCCAATTTGTATTTTTCTGCATCAATTGATGTGAATTTCATGATGAATGGACCAATAGAAATGGTTCAAGATTACCTAATGTAAATTACACTGACTTACATTAAAATGAAAAGAACGTTTTTGCTTTCTTTTGGTTTTCTTTGGGTTATTTTTTGGGGTTTTAGTTGTTTTTTTTCTTTTTGGACAGTGATGATATGTAAACTAATCAAACAGAAATAAAAGTATTTGCATAGGAAACTAGATGGTAATGGATGTGACTTGCTCACATGAAGTGAAAATGAGGAGGCCACAAATGGATGTTTTATTCTGTTATCGTGTAACATCTTCACCTCCATTTGTGCTGTACCTAATGAGAAATGTGTGCATGTTGTGAATATAAATACTTTACATATATGAACCAATCAAACACAAACCAATGTGTTTCAACAAGAGACTTCCATGCATGGTTGCACATACAAAGTGAACTGATATAGTTGTTCTCTCTGCTCTGTCTTGTGTCTCCTCAGTCTTATCGCCTCCAGAAGATACTACTTCGAGATTCTGCATAAGCAGGATGACAAGGGCTCAGATCATGTGGAGGTTGGGGTGAGTCACAGTGTGTATATTCTGAAGTACTTTCTGTCATATGACTACAACAACACTTCCAAACCAGTCTAGTGGTATGGTCAGTCTGGTCAGATTGGTCAGTCAATCGGTTTGACATTAGTTCTAACAGGCTTTTATACCTTGTATTTCCCTAGCAGCTCTATGTGTGGTGTCAGAAAACACAAACAGTAGACTTTGTTGTAAGTCAGGAAGCATGTGACTAACCATGTGTGTATCTGTTAGTGATTTCCTGTTGTACATTGAAGACAGAGAAGATCAGTAGCATGTGACCAGTCATTGTTGAATTCTGCAACTTAAAGTAGGAAAGAAATAACAAAAACTAAAGAAAGAATATAAAATAACCACAGTTTAATAAAACTAACTGTAGAAATAACCCAGCATTATATCAATCCTGTGTGAACTAACATGTTAGTAAATATCCCTGTCCTGCAAGGAATGGGTTTTTGTTTTTTGTTTTTTTTTGTATTGCAGCAGTTAAAGAAGCATTTCTTCATCCCAAATGACCAGCTGACCACTAGGCTATTGGCCTATCTCAAGTGTGCAATGGCAAACATTCAGAAAACTGTAATACGACAGAAAAAAATACATTGTGGTTTGACTGTATGTGGCAATTTTGATTGGATGTGAACTCCCTGGCTAATAACAATGCTAAAGCACCTTGTGTTCACTAAAAACAGCTAGCTAGATAGTTAGGAACAAAACTACAAGAAACATTTGTGATGATGTCACTGGCCAGCACACATCACCAAGACTGTTTAAGACATTACACCTCATAAGAAAGAGACTTTGCAAGAGATTAATAAATGTGTACACCTTGATTCCATGGAAATGGTGGCACAGGGGCGTCTGTCCCCTTATAGGAGCTGGGAGACGTCACAGCTATCGAGCAATGCCAGAGTAAAACCTGTAGAGAGAAAAGAGAGTTAATTAAAGCTGTAGCTATATGTGAATGTGAATGTACTTACAGGTATAGAAATGAGAAATGGCCATGTAAATATTGTTGATGTTGCAGATGCATATGTTATTGGTTGATGGTAGGCCAGTGAGATATTGTTACCCCTGTAATTTGTATTGGTGTGTTCCAGCCTCAACCAGGGTGGGGCTTAGACTAGAAAGCCAGACCATAACGGTTATTTGGGGGAGTCAAGGGAGTAGGCTCAAGGGCAGTGGTGGACAGTATCTAAGTAAATGTAATTCATTACTGTACTTAAGTAGTTTTTTCGTGTATCTGTACTTTACTGATGTATTTCCATTTTGGGTGACTTTTTACTTTCACTCCACTACATTTCAAAGTCAAATATCTTACTTTTGACTCCACTATATTATGCGAAATCTGTCGTTCCTTTTGGCTTATGTAGGCATAAACACGTAACGTGTCAAAACGATAGAAACGTGAAGCAAACACAATCAGGGTACAGTGCACACTTAGTTTTGAGCTTGTTTTGACCTGTTGGACATACCTTCCCAGTGCAAGTATATGGTTCAATGTCAGTGCAGCAGCATATAATTTTGGGAGTGTCTATTCCAACATAAATGATGGAACTAACCTAACTTTGTGTAAATAGTCCACAATATAGAAATATGTACACAGTTGTGACCGGCATGTGTGTTTTTTCTGAATGTATACAAACACTATTTCATGTTATAGTAAATTTGTTTTTGCTAGTTTCATGTTTATGAACAGAGACCTACAGATGCAGTATAGTAAAGGAAAACTCATTTGTGAACCTGTGTTTAAAGCACGTTTTTATTAAACCTGAACTTGTAACTAAGTTACAAATAAATCTTAAACTGAAACTTTTCATAGCCTCTTGGTTTTACCTAATGGAATTTTTTGCCTTCAGTGTTTTGTGCTTATGATAATTTTAATAGACATCAGTGAAAGACTAATTAATGACATTCTACCAAAATATTGGTTTACCAAGAGTGACACTGGAGTATTTTCTCCTAAAATGAGTTAATAAAGTTAGAGTCTTGTTACAAAAATGGTAATATTACATTAGAGCCCTAATTAATCTTATAGTACTTTTACTTTCAATACTTAAGTACATTTGAAGGCAAATACTTTTGTACTTTTACTCAAGTGAAGGTCTAAAGGGAGGAACTTCTACTTTTACTGGAGTAATATTTTACCTTGGGTATCTCTACTTTAACTCAAGTACATGATTTGTGTACTTCGTCCACCACTGCTCAAGGGAGCCATAGTGTGTAGTCTCTTATTTAGGTACAGCAGGCTGATGTTTAGACTGTGAACATGAATGACTGCCGGATATTAGCTGAGGAGCTAATGGAGTCGCTTTAAGAACCAGTTTTGTGTTTAAACCTCCAGCCCTGCTGTAAATATCGTCTTTGCTGGGCGATCAACACTTAATAAATCACTGAGAGCAGCTGAACTTACCTGGACATGTGTGCAATATTATTTGAAGGGGAACCCAAAGCTTCTTTCCTAATCATAGTCTCACATTATTGGTAACATTGTGTCCCACTACGTATGGGGACGACGATGTACCACAACAATGTTAGCATGTCTTTTCTACTTTTGAGCACAGTAAGCCATGCGTTATGTATGGAACTTTTTAGTGTGAAAACAACATGTAAATCTAGTCGACGCATCAATTTCTGTAATTTATACAGAGAGCTTTAATCTGTGCGAATCAGTGATAAAGAATAGGGGCATCCTGTGATAACATTACCTCACTGACATATGTCCAGAAAACTCTGAATAGTACTTGAATCAGAAGAGCTGAATGAATAATGGTTCGGGGGTTGTGGGTCAGTCATGGCATTTCAGTAACATATTGTCTAAAGCTGACTTTCTGGGTCCTATTCAACAAACAACAGCTCTCTCCCCCTGACGAGCGATGCTGTGAACACACTCACAAATGACAGACTTCATATATTCAATGCCCAGCCTCCAGCTTTTATTGCTGTCTCTGTTGGATGACGCTAATACGGGTGTTAGTCTGTTTGTGTTGTGGGGGGATAAGCTACTGTAATGATTTCAGCGTGGAGGCCCACAGCCGGAGATGGAAAGGAGTACAAAGGAATGATTGAAGTGATTTATACTGGCAGTACGACTCTTTAGTTCAGAGGGAGCAGGCAGCGGCATTGGGAGCGGCCTGATCTGTTCAGCTTTTCAGACTATGACACAGTCTCTGCTGGGCTCAGAATGGAAATCCTTCAAACCTCGGGGTTCAAACTCGCATACAACACTCAACTCTATTATCCATTTGTTTGTTTATCCGTCTTTATCTTATTCAGATAAAATGCTCTGTCTGGCAGAAAAACATGGGCCTTCTTCCAATCCATGTGATCACAGCGCTATTTCCAGCACTGCTGTACTCATATTCTCAACTCCAGCTCATATACATGATGCTCATAACTGCTGTTCAGCTGTATTTAATGTCCTGCAGTTGTTCTAGTTATATTTGCCTGTGTGAAAAGAAGACAGGAAATTAGTTCATGGTTTAAGCAGGGGCGGCACGGTGGCGCAGTGGGTAGCGCGGTCGCCTCACAGCAAGAATGGCCTGGGTTCGATTCCCGGCCGGGTGACCAGGGTCATTTCTGTGTGGAGTTTGCCTGTTCTCCCCGTGTCTGCGTGGGTTTCCTCCGGGTCCCACAGTCCAAAAACATGCAGACATGCTAAATTGCCCCTAGGTGTGTGTGTGTGTGTGAGTGAGTGAGTGAATGTGTATGTCTGTCTGTCTGCCCTGCGATGGACTGGCGACCTGTCCAGGGTGTATCCTGCCTTCCGCCCAATGACAGCTGGGATAGGCTCCAGCACCCCACCGCGACCCAGAAGGATAAGCGGTTTAGATGATGGATGGATGGTTTAAGCAGATAGCTTAACAGTTAGTGTTTGATGCCACTGAGAGAAAAAAAAAAAAAGCAATCATTTCTGCTAGGAAATTTTGAAGCTAGTAATAGCACCTGGGCAGTGCTGACTCTACCTATGAGCGACATAAGCTGCTGCTAGCAACTTTTGTGTTGGTATTAGCCTTGGGACGGTAAACGATATTATCGAATATCGTGATAATTTCAACCAGTGACGATATGAAGTAAATTATCGTTTTTTATCATGTACCCTTGCCATGTGAATTATTCCTATTTTATGTTGTTCTTTGTATTTAACCATTGACTTTTTCTACAAGCATTCTAATCTGTAGTAGGTTAAAATTTTAGACCTAAGCTATAACAGCAAAGACGGCATTTAAGTATAGACCACACAAACATAACTAATTAACTACAAATATACGTTTTAAAACGGCACTTGAAAAGAATAGAATGTAGTGTTTCAGTCTGGCAAAGAATGCTGGGTATAAGAAAATGAAACACTCCGCTACGTGTGACCTTCTCCCTATGGATGAGTTTGTACAGAAGAAGGGTGTTACCACACCCGTTTGGCAATATCTTGGTTTCCAACCAGACGAACACGGAGAACCGTTAGATGTTAACAGTGTTACATGCCGTCTATGCAGAAAACTGATCATCACCAAACGCGGCAATACAGACCTTGAATCCACAGTACGAGCTGCCAAGCCGTAAGTACTTCAGCAAGACAGCGGCGCCTGAGATGTATAATAATGTTAATTGTGCATGAAACAAACTAGGATGTTAGAGACTATAATCATAATAATATTAATAATTATTTGTAGCACGTCATGCGCTAACCCGGGCTCGAGGACGCTGAAGTCAGGAAAAACTTTCGCAGCAGCCATTCCTTTAATATTTGCTTCAAACTCACACAAAATAAACTCAACAAAACCAACCAGCTCTTCAGTCAGTCTCTGTTGCTGCTGCACGTCCCTCTCTTTCTGTTCCCTCTCTGCTTTTTAAAAGCACCCGAGCCGAGAGGGAACGAGAGCTCGCTGCTCCGTCTCCTCGTCACCGCCCCCCAGCTTGCAGCTCGGCCGCCCGAGTCGAACGTGAGGTGTGGTGAAGCGGCCTCGCTGCGGAGCAGGGGGCGGGGCCCGGGCGGC